TATCCCTTTATATCTAGTGTCAAATTCTCGCACTGCTGACTCAACCTGGATTTAGTCTGCACGTTCCTCTGTCACTAAACTCCTTTGAGAAGACGTGTTGTTGCAAGTCACATTAGTACAGATGAGCTTTGGCCAGACTCAATACTTTGCTCACGATACCTCTGTGCATATCGGGAGTGCACGTAGGGATGAGCCTTACAGTCTTTACAAGACCTTCAGTACCTCTCTCCTCAAATAGTCCTATCAAAATCATTGAGATTAGTCACACTAACACCTTACTGCCAAAGCAAACTCAGGTACTGAGCATTTAGTAATTTCAGTGCAATGAAGATCTGGCCATCCAGTGGATTTTCCCAGCAGAAGGAACTGGAGCATATCTCCAAAGGCTTAGAGATGCACTCTTCTTTGGGATTACTTGTCCCCATTTTCTCCTGGTACATGAATGGTGAAAATGTGGCACCTTAACTTGGAGTCTCTTTTTTTCTGCGGAGGTGCTTGTATTTCTCAGCATGATTTGTGGCAACCACAGTCATTGCTTCACGCTGTTTATTACAGCCACTAAATCTCAGTCTCATTTCAGACTCTTAATGTGCTTGTTCTGTAGTTGCCTCTTTTCCTTTCCTTTGAACTTCTCACTGTTCTCATTGCTATAATATTTAACCAGCTACTACAGGTCTCTCTCTGTTAGGATTTCTCTTCCTGTATCACACAGCCTCATTTACATTATTCCACTTGAGTAAACATCCTGACTCTAAGGGTATGTCTACACTGCAGAACAAAACAACCCCTCCCCGCAAAAACCAGCCCCACCGCAGCATATCTCAGAGCCTGCATCAACTGACTTGGGCTTGCAGGGCTCTCGCTACAGGGCTAATAATAGCAGTGTAGACATTCCTGCTTACGCTAGAGCAGAGGTTCCCAAAGTGGGCGATACCGCCCCCTGGGGGGCGCTGGAACGATCCAGGGGGGCAGTAGTAGCCTCGGGTGCAATTGGGGGGCGTTGAATAAAAATAAGGGGGCGGTGGAAGCATAAAGAAAGAAGAGAATATAAGAAAATTTTGAAAAAAACGTTCGTACATGTTTCATCTGTTGTGTAACAGAGTTAAAGTTGTAGTGATTACTTTATTTTCCAAATAAATTCACAAATTATAACCGATCAGGTGTCAAGTCCGCCAACAGCTCTTAACAAGCAAGTGTTGGCAGGCGAGCGTGTCGCGCATTGTCGGGAAGTCCAGCATGCATCGGCAGGAATATGTGCGTGTAATGACTTGTTTACAATACGATACTATAAATAGGTGACATGTATGAAATCTAATTTAGATTGTTTCTGAATTGTGTAAAAAGCAATTAACAATAGTGCAATAAGTATTTAACAAATTTTATTCATATTCGATACCTTCCATCTTTACGGATTACGGATCACATGCAAAGCAATTTGTATTATTGTTGTTTCAATAAAACAGCAATTTACACGTGAGTATTTTTATACATTTTCTTACATATCTACCGTACGTTTCTGTGTCTCTAGTGCTTACTAATAATAAAATCGTAGCAGGCTTGTGTCGGTACAGTACTATTTGAAGTGTACAGTCAATATATTTGTCATTTTTTATTACAATATTAACGAAACTGGGAATGAAATCGTAAAAAAACTGTTAACTATTAACATTTATTTATATCTATCGAATCATCTGTGTTAATTGGTAAATAAGGTGTGTGTTAATAAGGAACAATTATTTAAATAAGGGCAAACAATTAAAACTATTAACTGATTTTTAATTGCATATTGATTATTTTTTAAATTAATTATTTCTTGATAAATTTGGTTTGATATTTGAAAATTTAATATCAAATACATATATCTAATGCTGAGCAAAGAACAAAACCCAGTTTATTAGTTTCATTAGTAGTTTAGTTTGGTTGTCTTTTGCCGTCTTACGCAAAAACCACTGATGTCGTGGGCGATATTCTAATAACACATCTTTCTTTACTATATTGTAGGACGTAGGTAGAAATATAGATACATAAAAGAACGCAAATTTGTCACTGCATCTTTCTGTTTGTTCGCTTAAAGAAGGTAGATTTCCAGGGGGGCGCTGTGTAATTTTTTTTCTGAAAAGGGGGCGGTAGGCCAAATAAGTTTGGGAACCTCTGCGCTAGAGCCTAGGCTCAGAGACATCCCCTCTTTCCCCCTTGCTGGGTTTCAGAGCCTGGGCTCCAGCTCATCTACACAATTTTTAGCCCTGTACAGCAAGCCTGAGTCAGTTGACCCAGGCTCTGAGACTCGCTGCCACAGGTTTTTATTTGAAGTGTGGACGTACCTAAACTTTCTACCTCCTCCTCTATGAATTTGAGAATTAATGCTCAATACACCAAAAGGCATGGGATACTGATCCTCTTCTGAGCTGTTTTGTCTGCATTCGTTAGCATCATATGTGCTCAGTTGGTTTTTTGGAAGGGACAAACTTTACTGCATTCATTTTATGTAACACTTTGCTTCTATTGCCAACAAGATGCAGCCTAAGCTACAGCAAATCCTGCGTCACAGAGAACATATGCTACCTATGTGATAAGGGTTTCATGTTAAAGGAACACACCTATGAGAGATGAAATTTAATTGCATCAGGGTCCAAACCTGCCATCCTCATTCACTCCAAGTAGTGGGATTATTCATGGAGAGAAGTACTGTTCAGTGTGAGAGAGTGGCAGAATCAGACCTGTGACGGAAAGGAACTGAATGTTTATTATGTATTTGAAGTTACATCAACAGCCAAAGAGATTAGGGTGGGTGCTGTGGGAATTTTATAAATCTAAATTAAATAAAATCTCTCTCTTTATCCTAAGAGTTAAAGTCAAAATTGTGTCTGAATGGAATCCAGCTATCACAAGGGAAAATATATTACACCTTCTCACCAGATTTCACCTCTTTACAAAGAACAAAGCAATGGTTCAGATCCTCTGCTACAACCATAAAGTGCACTCCATAGCTCAGGATGGGAGCTTCAAACGTAGCTTTTGTGCTTTCCGAATCCTGTCCCTGCTGCACACCGAGATGATCCCCTGACATAATTTAGAGCAGGCTGAGGGCTGCTGCAAATTATACCCACTGCCAATGGCCACAAGAGGCCAATACTACAACCAGAGATGACTGGGGCATAGCACCATCCAGTCCATGCCCCCTATTCCCAGACATTCCTCCTCAGGGAGGATGGGCTGCAGAGGAACTCCAATGCTGGCTCTACACCATGATCCTCCCATGGTGAGTTATGATGTCTCCATGTCCAAATTCTGCTAGGAATATGGTACAAAACCTCTGCCTCGCTCCTGTGGAGCTGAGCCTAAATGTTAGAAAGTCTGCAAACGAACAGCTGACACATCCAGCCACGTCTTCATAGCCATATAATCACCGATCATTCGTAATCACTCCAACTGGCTGCACTGCTCACACAACGTTAACTCCCAAGCTCCCCGTGGCAATGGTAGCTAGGGTCAGGCATCTTCTTGATATGCAGTGGAGTGAAAGGAAACCCATTTATGGCTAAGCCACTCAAAATTGAATGAATAAATGTTTCGAGTGCTTAACATTCATCACACATGAGCGCTTGAGTAGCTCAACTATCAATTACAGAGCCTCATAACGTCCCAAAACTTCGGAGCTAAACACGCTCATTGCCTCCACTGAGCTCCTAAATTCTCCCGGGTAGTGGGAGTGAAGAGGCAGACAATGACTATACAGCTCCTTAACGTTTTGGGGATGGCCTGAAACACTGGGTCTTAGCCACACCAATGAAGTGTTTATGCCTTAAAAATTGTAAGTGCGGATTGTGAAAGTAACTATCCAAATTTAAATTAGTAAGTAGCTAAGAATTTTAAGCATTCCAAGTGCTGATGGATTATCCCCAGCGCTGCAGTGGATGATTTAGTGCTATAAACACCTGTTTCTGACTCACCTATTTTTATTTTCATCAAGAAGCAATATGGCAAGCAGAGCCACAGACAGGAAACATGTTCTGAATATAATAATCTTGAGTTTATATAGGATCTTTTATCACCTCTCCAAAGCTCCCACCACTTCCACTGCATTGAGCTTGATTGTATGGGCTTTATTAGGGATGAAGTGATAAGACCCCGATTTTTTTTCCTACAGAAACATGGCATAATTCACCAGTCTATCATACGCATTATTATGATTTTTGCTTTAAAGGGATAATGTCACGTAGTTCAAAGCCAAAAATCTGACCTCCCATAAAATTCTTATCTGCTGGTAATCTCTGGTTTGGTTCTACATTTGAGACTGCTTTAGCAGTGTCCTTTAGATACTGTGAGCTAGTTTCTAACACTAGGTGCATGGAAATCAATCTCAGATAAGAACCTTAACGGAAGGATTTTCTTAACATTTTATTCTTTCAGCTGATAACCTCACTGCACTTAGACAAACATTAAGATTCACAACCCTGCTGTGAGGTAGGCAAGGATTATATAGCTCAGAATATCAGGATTTAGACTAGACAGACAAGGGGGAGGTAGTAACTTTTATTGGACTAGCGTCTGTTGATGAAAGAAACAAGCTTTCAAGCTCCACTGAACTCTTCTTTAGAGATGAAAATTTGTGATTTGCCTAAAATCATACAGTAAATTAGGGGAAGAGCTCCTAGTCATGGGTGCTAACACCTAGATCATACAGTACTTCTAAAATGTCACTGAAACTTGTAACTAAGGAGGACACGGGAGCCTTGCCTAATCCAAAAAGGATTTTACACCAAACGGGCCCCAAGATGTTCAGAAAACATGAGTTACTCCTCAAATCTGTCATTGTTGCCTTTCACCTTTTGTCACTTAAACTTACAACCTTGAAAATTTAACACTAACTGAAGCCATTTGAAGATGACCCTGTATACAAGTTTTCATATTTGGAGGATCAAAAGCAGGTTGCATTTTCTTAGAAAGTTTCTTTAATTTCTCTCTCTTTCTTCCCCTTACCCCTTTTCTTTTTTTCCTAGTCAGACACAGAGTTTTGGGATAAGATGCAAGCTGAATGGGAAGAAATGGCTCAGAGAAACTGGATTTCAGAGAACCAAGAAGCGCGTGGCCAAGTAACTATCTCGACCAGTGAGAAGGTAACATCAGTAACCCGCTAACACAGCACATCGTTTCTGTGCAGGTTTTAGAGTCACTCTCCTCGGTGTCTATGAGAGGAAAACAAGGAAATTCCTCCTCACAACTATACACTACCTGCCACTAAGGCGAGAATTTCTCAAAGGAGCTCAGCTCCCATGTAGGCACTTGAGTAAGAGTCACATTTTCACAAGAGCACAGCACTCTGAGAGCATGTTGGGATCTGAACTCTTTGGAAAATCTGGCTATAAGTGTCACAATAGGAGCGGCTAGGTGCCGAGCACTTTTGAAACCAGGCCCTAAATTAAGAGTGTTGGGCATTTGAAAATCTGGCCCTATGTGTTCAACAACTTCCCATCCTAGGAATGAATTTCTCTCTCCCCATCTCCTTTATGTATTTTTCTATGATTTATAGTCTCATTTTCTACATATATTAAAACACTCTTTACCTTGCATTGGCAGGAAGGTGGATTGGACAACCCTAAAATTCTGATCCCTATGATTTATGACCCAGTTTCTATAGTCCTTATTCAGGCATTCATTTATCTCCCTCAAAAGCACGTTGCCTGAGAGCACATCCACTCCAGGCAGAGATGACCAGGCTTCATTGGCTGACACAAGCTGGGTCGCAGTCGCAGAGTGAGGCAAACCCTGTTTCAAACCTAAAACAAGCTCAAGTGCTTGCAATACGGAGTTGCACCTTGGGTGTTCATTGAAGGTTTTATGTTATTTCATATGTGCAAGCACTGAACCGACATGGAGTTGAAAGCACTGGGGGAGGCTAGTCCATGCGAGACATGCTCTTTATGCCAAAGTTTGATATATTTGGTGCACACTGGGACCAATCCTGCTCCCATTGAAATGGATGGGGTCTACTGTGTAGGAAGTGACTATCTCCTAAGTATAATACTTTTGTGAAGGGTTCCCCCGGGGGTGCCACCCGGAACTGGGGTACCACGAGCCCTTTGACCCACCAGCCTGGGCTCCCTCTCACACTGTGCTACTGTGACAAGCTGCAAAGCCCTGCAAGCCAACACTTTCACCAGCATTAACACAGGTAGGGACACACCCAGCTGCAGTTACATGCAGGCTCTCTAACCACCAGCCTCCCAGCATAGGACCCCAGGGCAGTACCATCCTCCCCTAGTCAAATCTGTCCAGTATATGGGTTTCATACCTGGTTTGCCTCTTCCTCAATGTGAAGAGACCAATGCATACTTGTGATAATCAAGCCAAGATTTTCCCCAAGCACTCCAGTCAAAGCTCGCTGGTTTGGATTAAAACATAAAATAAATGTATTAACTACAAAAGATAGATTTTAAGTGATAGCAAACAGATCAAAGCAGATTACCTAGTTTTCATTTTATTTATTTACTAAGTCTAAGATACTAGAAAGACAGGATATGAACTAACAAATTCTCATCCTGAGTGATAAACAGGCTGGCAGATTAAGGCACAAGCTGCATTTGCTTTGCAGCGTGGGTTTCCCAGGTTTTCACACACAGGCTAGAAGTCTCTTTAGCCTGGGGCCATCACTTCCCCCAGTTCAGTCTTTGTTCCTTAGGTGTTTCCAAGTGTGTTGTTGTAGGGAGAGTGAGGTACAATCATGATGTAATTTCCCCCTTTTCTATCTTCTTCCCACTTCCTGGAAAGCTCTTTTGCTGTGATCTGGGTCAAACAGTTCCCATTGTGTAGTGCTATCTCTGAGAGGTTTCTGTTGTATGCAATACCTGGGGAAATCCTTGTGCTTGTGTGCATTTCCTCAATAAGCCATTAACATTGTTTGGACTTTTTACTGTTGTACCTGAAAGGCTGCTTGTGGGTGTTTTCAACCTCACAACATGTTTCAGTAACACATACATAGCCAAACTGCATAACTTCACATATGATAGCACATACAATCCAACAAGATATTAATGTCTAGCAGATCAAGACTTTTAGAATGATACCTCACAAGGCATACTTTGTGCAAAACATATCCTAATTATATGGCAGTGGTGAATAAGGGAGTGCCAGGGTGTCACAACTTTCTTGGAAACGAGGGTAAATATAAAGGGCCAGTAACAAGTGCCCTGGTCTGTTGGATGTGAACCACACAGTTTTACACTTTTTTTATTGAAACTTGACAAGGGAACTCGTACCATTTTCATGCAGCAAAGAAGTTTTACACCTCGCTAGGAAATAATAAGCTATTTAACTGTATGTGCTTAACACTCCTTGCTACTGTGTTTCATCACTGGACCATTAACTGTCTGCTCCAGGGCTATTATTTTCATACCGAAAACCCTTTCAGAGACTGGCCTGGTGCGTTTGAGGAAGGACTGAAAAAACTGAAAGAAGGAGACCTGCCCCTCACTATCTTATACATGGAGGCTGCCATTCTACAAGACCCCAGTGATGCAGAGGTATTCACTCCCCTGCCTTTATCTAGGGAGGGGAAACAGCTACAAGTGTCTCACTTCACCTAGCATAGCAAGGATGGGGAGGATTCAAGGTCAAAACTTTTGGCAGTGGTTATTACGTGAAATAAAATGGAAGGTAACAGTGTGTAAGGAGCGTCATATACTTTGAAATGAATTAAGCAGAGCTGATCAAACAATGAAAACTTATTTTTGCAGTTTCAAAACTTTAAAGCTGTTATTTGAAGATGTTAATCAGTTTATTAAAAATTATTTGACATGACCATCAAAATTTTTCAGTTACCAAAAATTCTGGCAAATAAAACAATGTTTATAACCATTTTCAATCAAATATATATTCAATCAATATATATATATTTTAAAGTATTTATTTTGTTTTGTTTCTATTTGAGGGGGGGAGGGAACATTTCAACAGTTTTTCACAAAAAATTCCATTGTAGAAAAAGACCATTTTTCAATTCAAAAAAATTTCCACCCCGCTCTAGAATTAAGATATTCTTCAAATCTGTATTGCAGGTTCCTAGCAAACATTACAGCATTTTTATTTGTAAACAGTAATCTCAGAAATACATAGGAATACTGGCTAATGAGTAAGGAAATGGAAGGTTCTGAGATATGGCAGAGAAAGTTAATTGTAGTTGATACTAGCATACAGCAAAAGCTAGGACTGTGATATATTTCGAGGCTGCATGGCTGAAAGTGCTCCATCTGCTGTGTGTTTCGGGTCTCTAATGTTAAAAGGCAGTGTGAATTATTTGAATTTTAGAGCTGAAATTGATGTGTGGGATGTGGGAGCAACAAAAAAATAGCCTAGGAGTCAGGTGTGAAGAAAGGAGGAGCCAAAGACCAAGGCCTATAGGGCAGCAAGAGAAAGGATTTCACAATGTACCTGACTGACATGATGCAATTTACATGAAACTGTCTTAGGAGCAACATGAAGCAGAAATAAGCCACTTACCTCGGGTATGCCGTTAAAATACTGATGTTTACTATACTGCAGTATTTGTCATACTTAGAAATCATAAAGATAATGGAATGTCAAGAATTTAATAGGCCCACTGAATGTTTATTATTTGCATTAAAGGCTGTGTTACAAGCACAATTTCAGCCTGTATATTTGTCACAGGGTGGTCTACTCACTGTGTGGTGTGTCCTTCTGGTGCTTAGCTCCGCCCAGTTCAGTGCCCCCTTCCTTCTCACAGTACGGCTGCCTCATGACTCAGCCCTCCGGCCAAATCACTCTCTGTTTTCCCCTTCTGGGCACGTTTTTTCAGAGTCCTGCACTGGTATCCACATGCCCACTGCACTGACTACATCACTCCCACAGTGTCTCAGGCAGTCTTCCTCTTCACTGCCACCAGCAATCCCATTCTGCAGTGGATGCTAGGGGAACCCAGACCCATCCTCTACACTGGGTTCCAGTCCGGGGCCCTATAGCGAGCAGTTAAGGTCTGCAGCTACACTAACCTTACTGCTTCAACCCTTCACTATTTCTACTGTGCTTCTCCAAGCTTTTCATTCTTCAGCCTTCCTAGTCAGACTCGCCTCTCTCAGGCCTACTAAGGTCCTTCCTGGGTTCCTATGCCCCATCCTTCTCCCTTACCTCAGGGGGAGAGATTGCAGATTTCCTCCCTGCACCCTCCCATGCTGCTGACAGCCTCCTGGCTTTATAGAAGCCCCACCTGTTCCCTCAGAGGTGAGCTTCCTTCTAATTAGCTCCCACCCCACAGCCTAAATCTTATGCATTTGCAGCTTAATTGGCTGATTGGGACCACCCCACTTAATTCAGCTCTTCCAGGGCAGGCATGGGGAGTACACCTCATCACAGTACTTAAAAGCTATGACTTTTCTGGGAGAAGGGCATTCCTTTCATGGTGCAAGGGTGTATGGGGCAAAATATTAGGGGACCAGATACTCAGCTGGCATAACTTGCTATAGCTTCCCTGAAACCAGTGGAAAAGAAAGAGTGGGATTCAACATAGTACTCTAAAGTCTGTCTTCAGATATGCACGGGCCACTGCACCTAAAATCAACAGGAGTGGTTGTGTATGTGCATCTGAGTCCCACTGTGTCTACTGCTGTATGTACCTGATGCAACAAAATGATGCTGTAGAATCCCCCTCACACTGTAGGGGTGAGATTATTTTCTTCGGCATTTTCAGATAAAAGCTTGAAACATCAGAATCCATTTAGAATGTGTAATAACTCACCTGTGAGAAAACAGTATGGGATCTGACAGTGTAGAATCACCATTGACTTAAATGGGAACTTCCCATGGATAAACGTGGCCTAAAGATATCCAAAATCACTTTGCTTTGTACTGTTGGTGTATTGGCAATAGAAGTACTGTAGTCAGGCCAGTGTTGGATACATGCTGCTGTCTATATGTATCCATTTATTTAAGTAAGCATAGGGATATTGCTCTGTGATTCCAATTGCACTTGGGGACATATCATAAAATAACAGTTATTATTTTGCAGGCCTGGCAGTTTCTTGGTATAACACAGGCAGAGAATGAAAATGAGCAGGGAGCTATTGTCGCCCTCCAAAGGTAGATGAAGATATTTGCAAAATAATGGATCCCATCAATATTAGTTAATGGATGCCTGTGTGTATTTCATCTCACACTTGTGTTCTGACCTTTTTCATTTAATTGGGGGGGGAGGGGGAATGACTGGCATACAGAAGCGATATGCTACCTCTAGTCTCCATAGTAACTCCGGAGGCATGATTTTGCATTCCTATGGAGTTAATGGCAATATTAAATCTCATATTTAATTAAATAAATGGAAACACAAAAGAAAACCTACATGTCACAACAAACCTGAATTAGGCACAACGCAAATAAAATGTCTTTTCAATATTCTAGACACTTGATATATTTTCTAAAGGTTTCTGTCTTAATGAAAATGTTTCCTTAATTGGATGGAGATCCTCAGCCACTGAATACTAATTGATGGAGAACTTTGCTAGGTTGATGGGAATATAATGATCACGCTTTACCTGTTAAGTAAATGCCTATTCCTAAATATCAGAGTTATTATTCTGCCTTTATCTGTAGTGAGTGTTGTTGCACTATATTCTGTTTCCACTTGTAGCCAAGTATACACTCCAAACTTAATTGCATTAGCTATGTTAACATTCAAGCCAATTTACCTAAGGATACTTCAGTTACTGTAACTCATTTATATGTAATGTCATCTTTTCCTTACCTGCACAGAAATCCAAAGGGTTCCCTGACAAGTTTGTTTGTCCCTGATAGGTTGAAACATGCAGCAATGCCACTCACAGATACAGCAGACCAGATTCCCCTGTGCATTGTCCTGGTGTAAAGCTGGAGAAAGTCTATGGAAGTCCGTGGGCTGACTCTGACTTTACAAAGGTGTAGCTGAGAGCAGAGTCTGGCCCAACAATTCTATTGAAAAGGATGGGCTTTGGTTTCAATCTTCAAAATATCTTTTTACGTAGCCAAATGCCTTCTACAACTGCCCACTTCTAGATTACTCAAAAGTCTTCTATTTGTTTACTAGGCAGGTGCTATTAAAAAAAGGCTTCCTCCCACATTTGCTATGCCATGCTAATAACAGAAAGTGTGGGGAGTATTAGCTTTTTATTTATATAACACCATAGTCGCAGATGGCACATAACACACAAAAACAAGGCAAGTTCCCTGCTCCAAGCTCCTGCTATCCTTATTAATGTGAGTGGCTCTTTACACACCCCAGCAGTCCTCTGGAAGCCAGTAGCACTACTTTTGTGAGTAAGGGTTGCAGGATCCGGCCCTATGTTGGAAAAATTGATGCACTGCATTTTGCTAAAAGAAACTAAGATATTTTTCTTCTCTGTTTAGGTGCTTGCAGCTACAGCCAAACAACTTAAAAGCTCTGATGGCCTTGGCTGTGAGCTACACCAATACTGGCCATCAACAGGAAGCCTGTGAAGCTTTAAGAAACTGGATAAAGCAAAACCCAAAATACAAGTATATCATGAAGAGCAAAAGAGGGTCTCCAGCACTTACCAGGAGAAAGTCTGAGCCATCAAAAGAAAGGTAAACCTGGATTAGCATCCTGAAGAAATTAGGCCCAGATTCCCTAAGGTATTTTGGCTTCTAACTTCCATTGATTTCAATGGAGTTTCTCAAATGTACAGTGCGCTGCTCAGATATTTTTAAGTTACATAGGAACATAAGAATTTTGATCCCTGATAAGACCCAACAAAATGATGCTGTAGAATCCCCCTCACACTGTAGGGGTGAGATTATTTTCTTCCGCATTTTCAGATAAAAGCTTGAAACATCAGCATCCATTTAGAATGTGCAATAACTCACCTGTGAGAAAACAGTATGGGATCTGACAGTCCATTATCCTGTCTCTGAGGAAAGTGTAAGAGTCCTCCAGTAAGCATACGTGGGATACTCTTCCCCTTATTGGGTCTCATTCTGGTCTCTAATAGTTGGAGATTAGTTTAAGCCCTGAAGCATGAGATTTACTATTCCTTCAACAAAATTTATAATTAATTATAACTCTGGGTCTTCTTGATATCCACATAAATGACCAATTCCTCTTGGGGAATCTTGCTAAATTCTTGGCCACAATGACTCCCCGGTGATTTCCTAACAGGGGCGGCTCCAGGCCCCAGCGCACCAAGCGCATGCCTGGGGCGGCAAGTCGCGGGGGACGGCCTGCCAGTTGCTGTGGGGGCGGCAGTCAGGGAGCCGTCGGCGGCCCGCCTGCGGGAGGTCCGCCAGTCCCGCGGCTTTGGTGGCAATTCGGCGGCGGGTATGCTGAAGCCGCGGGACCGGCGGACCTCCCGCAGGCATGCCGCCGAATCCGCGTTACCAGGCGGACCTCCCGCAGGCGCGCCGCTGAAAGCCGCCTGACTGCCGTGCTTGGGGTGGCAAAATACATAGAGCCGCCCCTGCTTCCTAAACAATCCCAAACTTTTAAATCTCTCTTCATATGAGAGTTTTTCCAGACCCTTGATCATAGCCCTTCTCTGAACCCCTCTAATCTTGCAGTATCTTTTTTGAGACGGGGTGACCAGTACCGCACACAGTATTCCAGATCATGCTGTACCACTGATTTATAGACATTATGATATTCTCCACATTACTGTCCAGAAAGAGTAAGAAAAACAATTCCAATTAAAGTGATTAAATCATTGGATCAGGAAAATCTTTTTTAAATATGGTGTAGTATCCGTGTGAACACACACAAGCACATAGTCCATTCAGAACATTTAGAAGTTGTTCTGCAGTAGACGGTAAACTTCCCCTTTACCACCAGTTCCTATTGTTATTTTGCTAGTTGGTCTAAACGTTAGATTTCCACTTACATTAGTGGTGAAAGGTATCTATTTCTGAACTTTTTAAAAACCTTCAGCAACTTCTTCATAGACCCAAAATGCTGGGAGGATTCCATTTAGTGCCATTTAGAAATGGGGCGTTATGTTTATTATTGTTATCTTGTGCTAGCAAGATCATTTTGACTAAGCAACAATAAAATGGGGAACTTCTACTGAATGATGAAGTGCGTTATATTGGGCTTAATCCAAAGTCTGTGAATTTAGGAATCTAAATTTTGGCATCTGTCTTTGAAATCTTGGCTGTAGATTTCAAAATCTTTATCTAAGACTCTTGAGGATTGATCACCATTTTTGCCAACCTAGTTTCCTTGCTTTGACCTTGAGAGCAGCCCCTAATCCATTTTTTAGGGTGCCAGAGAGAATTGATCCAGCTTCAACAGCTCTTATAGCCCATATTTTAGATATGCCTGAGTTTTCAGCAGCACTTTGGCTTAGTGCTGGTAAACCTTTGAACTCTAATGGCCAGTTCTCAACCAGAGTCGGAATAAGTCATTACAACAATCGAGCTGAAGATGTCTATTTGCACATGTTTTAGAGGAGTATAAAGACTTGATTTGCTGGCTGTGCAGTAGATGGTGCAGCATTTACAGAGAACTGTAAGATGCAGCTTGGTGTTATTTTTCACCCTTTTCTAGTTCATTACTCGAAGAAGTAAAGGAAGTGTACCTGGAGGCAGCTCACCAGAATGGTGAGATGATAGACCCTGACTTGCAAACAGGACTTGGAGTGCTTTTCCATCTGAACAGAGAATTTAACAGAGCAATAGACGCATTTAATGCTGCCTTAACTGTTCGGCCAGAGGTACCTATTATGATTTTGCATTAAAAAAAAAGTTTCATTTTACAAGCCACTCTCTTCCTTTCCCACTTGAAGCTGACCAGTATTAATGAGATGTCTCTTCAGCCATTAAAATTTTAATACCTGAAATAGAAATGTTAATTGCAAGAGAGCCCTAATGAGAAACAGATTTATGCATGTCCAATTTTTGGCTGCACACTGATTAATTGGAGTAATTTTATGAAGTTGTCTAGAATCATGTGTCAGAACCTCACATTCCACACCAATTAACAGAGGGTACAAGTATTTTCTGCACTGTTCATTACTTTTGTGGGGGGAGGGGAAGGTCTCATATCCTTTTGTCTTAAACCAATAGTAGAAAACTCTCATTTTGTTATCAGGACTATTCATTATGGAACCGCCTTGGAGCAACCTTGGCAAATGGGGATCGAAGTGAGGAAGCTGTGGAGGCATATACTAGAGCTTTAGAAATTCAGCCAGGCTTCATTAGGTCCAGATACAATTTGGGAATAAGCTGCATCAACCTAGGCGCTTACAGGTGAGTTATGAAAAGAATATCAACATTTAAAGCCAAAAGTAAGGTGGCTTCTAAAAACTGAAAATTTATTTTTGAGCTAAACGTCTATAACATGTAGTCTGATCTTTGTTTAATTTAAGATATTGTTATACTCTTTGGATGAATGTAAAGAACTTTGGACTATGGGATAATATTCATTGTACAATATAATAAAACAATTGAGGAGTATGTTATAAAAAGTTAAGGCCCCAGTTCAGCAAGGTACTTAAGCACATGAGTAGTCCCAGTAGACTCAATGGGACTAATCGTGTGCTTAAGTGCTTTGCTGAATCGGGGCCTACGATCCAAATATCTCATTTTGTCAGAACAAATTTTATAAGGCAACAGGAGGCAACAAAGACAGAGCACTGGGCTGGGAGTCAGGAGACCTTGGTTTCAGAGCTGATTTGGGGGGAAAGTTCCCAATGAATAATTTCAACAAAAATGAAAAAAATTGTTTTTCATTAAATTTTTCTACGACTTTTTTGGAGTTTTTGTAAAAAAAAAAATAAAAGTTTGGGGAAAAAATGTTCTTCAGTTGCAGAAAGTAGAAAATATTAATCAAAAACTGACATTTCACTTGGAAATTTTCATTCTAACAAGTAGCCATTTTCACTGGAAAAACTTTAATGGAAAAATTTGACCAGCTCTCCTGAGGTCATTTCTGGCTCTTCCACTGACCTTCTGTGTTTCCTTGGGCAAATCCTTTGATCTCTCAGACTCATTTTACCATTTAAAATGAGAACAATATTACTTACCTTCCTTTGCAGAGTGTTTTGCAATCTATGGATGAAAAGCACTAAGTATCAGTTGAGATTTTCAAAGCAGTGCAAGTGATTTTATCTTCCATGAAACTTAAAATCAATAGAAATATTTCTGTAATTTAAAAAATCAAATGAAAACAGTTGATTTTAAAACATTAAATGTTTCTTTGCAACACTAATAATGCAGCACCGTGAATTTGAAAGTGAAAATGAAAACGAATACTGATTTGCATCGCCCAAACTGAACAAAATGTGAAGTGACAATTATTATATTACTTAATTTTTCATCACTAATGAGGCATAACATGCTGTATCAAGCAGACAAACTGGGTGATTCCAATGGCTAGCAACACTGTTCCTCTACCCACAAAGATGAAATTTAAAAAAACAAAGAAATGCAGATGCCCACTTGAAATAGTTCAATCTTCATGTTAGTTTGAAGTCTTGTCTATACATGAAAATTAAACCAGATAAAGTAGGGGAATAAAGTAGGGGATTAACTATTCCTGATTAACTCCATATGTGGACACTCTTATTCCAGAATAATAGTGCTTAATTCCAAAGTGGATTTATCTAATTTGGAATAAGGCTAGGTCTACACTATGGTCTGGTCTATACTACCCGCCTGAATCGGCGGGTAGAAATCGACCTCTCGGGGATCGATTTATCGCGTCCCGTCGGGACGCGACAATCGATCCCCGAATCGGCGCTCTAACTCCACCAGGGGAGGTGGTAGTAAGCGCCGCCGACAAAAAGCCGCAGAAGTCGATTTTGCCGCCGTCCTCACAACGGGGTAAGTCGGCTGTGATACGTCGAATTCAGCTACGCTATTCACGTAGCTGAATTTGCGTATCTTAAATCGACTCCCCCCTGTAGTGTAGATGTACCCTAGGGGAGGGGGGTCGACCTAAGATACGCAACTTCAGCAAAGTGAATAGCGTAGCTGAAGTTGCGTATTTTAGGTCGACTTACCTGGCTGTGACTGGCTGTGTGGGACTACTCTTGCTGCGGTGGATTTCCGGAGTCGACGGCAGAGCGATCAGGGATCGATTTT